TTTCTATAAATAAGTATTGTGCTCTTAATTTTTTATAGATTTTTTGAGTTCAGTAACAAATACTTCTGATGAACCTCGTACTATTAAGTTTTAGTTTTAAAAATTAAACATTTTAAACGAGGAACAAAATAGTTTTCCAAATTTTTTCAACACATGATCTATACATAAATTGTGTCTATTTATCTTAAAAAAATAAAAAAACTTAATACAATCTATACAAAAAAAAAAAATAGTAACTAAATAAATAAATAATTGACTCCAAAAGAGTCAAAATATTTTGAAAATTAAACCATACATATAAAATGATAATATTAAAATTTCAAGTAACTATGCTTATTAATTTTAGAGTTACACCAAATAACAAAATTGATTTTGACAAATACTGGAACGAAAATTCTTGTTTTTTTCTATATTTGTATTTTGCTTTTCAGACCATTGTATCAACAAGATACAATGTGCCACCAGAAACTAACCTTAAAGTTATAAATCAAAGCATTTTTAATGAAGCATAAGGTTAGTGATGATTGACAGAAAAAAAACACAAATTATTGTAAAATCAACTCGGAATCTAAACTTACATGTTTATTAAATAATAATTATCATTAAGTATATTATGATGTTGTTCAATGTTTACAATTAACTGGTTTCAACAGGTTTTCAGTTATAATTTAGTATAATTAATGCATTAACTAATGTATGTATGCACTTTATTTACCTTTAGTAAATAAATAGGTATATAATCAGTTATGTTTCAACCAGTTGTATTATTTTAAGTGATTTTTCGGTACCTATTCTGTATATTATATTATATTAACCTAGTTATTGTAATAGGTCTGCAATTAATTAGATACATTAAAATGACCCAACAACTGAGTTTCATAAATTGTGAATTATATTAATTCAGGAACTCTATAACATAAGATATTAAAAATTTAAAACCCGTGTACATAAATAATATGATATACAATGTATGGAGAAAAACGAGTAGGTATATTTAATGTATCTGATTAATTAGATACATAATTATCATAATTCATTAGAACTAGGTGCTGCTTGTTTTAATATTGGCTTCAATAAATATAAGTACCAATCAAGAAATAATACTTAAGACAATTTTCAATTTTTAATTTAAAATGAATAAATAACATTTATATACCTAGTTAAGTAGGAAAGTATTATTATTTTATAATTATTACAATTTATTTTAGTAAAACAATTGTTCTAGTTAAAATTGATACTGTTTTGTTGTATACCACGACCCGCAAATATTAAAATTTAAAAACTAGAATTTTCATGTATACTAGTATATACTTATTATAGTATATAGGTATAGATCAAGGTATTGATTTATATTTATCTATACATTATATTGTTGGGTTTGTATTCTAGTGTCTATAAAAAAATACAAGAATAATCAGTGAGATAAGTTTCATTGTTATTTGAGTAATCACATTTGGTTGCTAAGTTCAGAACAAACAATTTCTGTAAGCCACAAAGTTTGAACAATGAGTGTTTAACATCTACAATGAATGACGTCCTGTCTAGTGTATAATTCATCAAAGATCATGAAATTATTCAAACTCCTGATTGGTCATCAAATAACATTGAAATTCAAAAATTGTGAACATGGATATGTCAAAGTGTTGTACTTAAAAATATGTATGTGTAAACATGTTGATACTTGGCTTTTCAGCTCTAAACTTTCCATTACTTTTAAAAAAACTATTGTGCACATCAACATACAATATTATTACATTTTGTGAAATAAATCTCTTGTTTGATACTTATTTGGTTGAATTTAAGTGGCGCTAAAAATTTGAACTGATTTTAGGGGGTTTGACCACCCACAATTTAATTTAAATTTATACACCAAGGTAATGGGAACGAAAATGTTTTTCACTTTTTCAACATTTGCTACAATAATTGGGGGACATAATATAGCAAACCATACCTTAAAATTTAATTAGATTTTGTAGTTTGTAGTTTTAAAAGGTAAAAATGTGTTAAGACTTAAATTATAATTATTCATATGGATGATATTTTAATATGCTAGTAGGTAGGTATATAACATAGTCTACAAATGTAATAAGTACCTGGCTATGAAAATAATAAAATAAAATTCAATTAAAATTTGATCTAAAATATTATTCGTCATAAAAGATTTAATATAGGTAAATGGTAAAATCGGAATTTAATATTTATTAGAGATACTTAGTAGTAATCAGTAATACCCAGGGGTGTATTTGAGGAGGGCACATGAGGTCACTGCTCCCCTTCCCTTTATTTACTGTATTTTAAAATTTTTTATTGCTGAAAGTATTAATTGAAGTATTAACCTCTCTCACTAATCAAATGTTATGTTTATATCAAACACATGTATTTTGGTTATTTGGTTGTAAATTATGACATTATTTTGAGATGGAAAATATGAGTTATAATAACTATATTGTAACTATATTGACTTTTATATTACTTGCATTTTTTTCCCAAACAATCCAAAAAATAGCTAGGTAAGCTACAATTTTGAATCAAAGTCAATAGATAATAAATAGTCAATATTGTTTCATTTTTTATATTTCTGTATTTTGAGATTTTTATTGCATACATACGGTTTTCAAATACATTATGTGTAATATTTTGCTTATTTTAATTAAAATAACGTAGGTATTTATAATTATATTTATAGTCCATGTTATTTGACAAATAATTACTAGGTGAGGTAATTGGTTAGAGGCTGCTTTTTATTACTCTGATAATTTTCAAGATTTTTGTAGCGTTGTAAATATCTTTGACAAAAACAAGACGGTTTCCATACAAATTAAGCAAAACTTAATTCAAAATCCAAATTTAGCTAGTAATCTTACTTAATGTATGAAATCGCAACTACATTTTTTGCCCAGTAGCATAACTTTATTAGAAAAGAAATATATCTTTAAACAATTCAATTAATTTGATGAAAATGTTGAAAATAATATTTCCAAAATACAAGGAAACGTCAGAAAAGCAATTCAAGAAAAATGTCAAGCTGTTATTAAGAAAAATAATGGCCATGAAAACTTAAAATATTAATATTAACACTAACTAAAAATATGTTTAATATAAATTTATCAGATTGAATTTGTTAATTGACAATATGTTGAAAAAACTACAAAAGATAAATCATATACCTAAATATGATATAAATGTATGTAAACAAATAAAAAATATAATGAAAATAAAAGACTTTTTTTGCATATATTTTATTGTAAAGAGTATATACTCTATGTACTACAAAACAAGAACATAAATGAATATTTTATAATGCATATTTCTGAGAATTTTAGAGCATATAAATCTGAGCCCTACTTATAATTATGTAATTTTTTGAATTTATGTTTATGCCCCCCTACTTCCTCCCCCCACAATGATTATTCTTTTTAAAAATATTTCCCTAAACTAATACCCTGCTAGAGGCAAAAATACAAAGTTTATACAACATTTAGGAAGTTCCGTTTATAATATCGATTTAACAAGATATTAACTAGGTACCTACCAAAATTAATAACAATATAAGATTATGAATAAAAAACAGCATTGTCAGATCCATCAATACTTAGCTGTATGGATTAACATTAATAAATACAGGGATAAATACTTAATAAATAATATTTTTATCCTCTACTAAAAATATAAATATTTGGCAACACGTCTACCAAAATTACATTGTTATATTTTTAAGATAATTCTAGTAAATAACCTTGTAAATAGTATGTATCCTCTGCAAAATTATAAATAGTTATCAGATACTTTGTTTCATCTTAAGGTTCTAAGTAATTAAAACAGTAAAATAAAGGTAGGTATGATTAAAAGATGCATTGAAAATAATAATAACACAGGTAACAGGAAATTATACCCAATTCCGTATTTAATTCATGGACTACCAACTATATTTTAAACAATTATAAGGTCCAACAAAATTCTGTTTCAGTCATCTCTACAAATTACAAATTGTCATTTGTACAATATCGATTGGCAATTGCTGAAAATGTTAAGTGACTCAGCTTACACCAAACAAAATTAAGGTAGATACTAGGTACACATTTATAAAAATCCAAATGACTCATACAACCGACACTCCAGATTAAATAAAATAAAAAAAAGTAACACCTACCAATAGAGTTAGTCAACTACAGATAAGCAGCCTACTTACATTCGATATTTTGAATCCTTCATGAGATCAAACTCTTCGGTGGCTATTGTCCCCATGGTAACAGCAAATATGTCAATCCGTAAAAAAAACAACTGCGACTTGGTAAAGCTCTTAACTCGTTATAGATAATTACATAACTACATCGTTGCTATTATTTATTTCGTTGTACTCAACAAATTTAAAAATACGTATTTCAAGTGCACGGTATACAATAATTAATCATAATCAATGAAAACATCGGCTGGTCACGCGATTTACAACAATAATAGACAAAACAGTTTGAAATATAATTTTAAACGATTGTTTCTAAAAAATATAATAACAAAATAATACAAATATCAATTTTCTTTATTGCACTTTGTCACTATATAGTCAGTACTGTACACTATAGCAGTAAACTTCTTTCGTGGTACATCTTGAGTTGATGACAAATCAGCTGAAAGTTGACAAAAAAGATAAAATATCAGTGTAGCCAACTAGAAATTTGTCATAGCTGCTGTGGTTTGAATATTTTTAAAATTTAAACAACTATTTCAGTTGTATATTAGTATATTGCCCATCTTTAAAATTTAAAATCAGTAAATTTAAATATAATATCGTACTATTACATATTCAATTTTTATTAAAACTGTTTAATGTTTATATTATTACAATTTACAGTAATCTGTTGCACGATTTTTTTTCACAATTCTCGATTTCAAATTGTTATCAGTTATGTAAACACGAAAATAAATGTGCATATTGTCACACTGAAGCAAAAATATATTTCATAACCATTAAAAATTAAGATATTAGATTTTTTTTTTTTTTATTATCAGCTCATTCAACATTCAGGACTCAAAAAATTGGAACTTGGAAGGTAAATTAATTTCTTAAGTGTGCTCTAGTACTGACTACTGACGTACCGTACAGTATACAACTGTGCAGTAACTATTAGGTAATTACGAGCTAGAACGTTTATTGTTTTAAAAATAAAAATCAATCTTCAAATGCTTTTACACTTAACCTTGCATTAATTTTTATAACTTTTTTGTTAGGTACTTTTAATTTTTAAACCAAACATAAGTGCGTCATTTTAATAAAATGGAATTCAGTAGCAACTTAGTGAAAGTTCATTTAGCCAACTATCTAGCCAATTTACCATTGCCAAATTCATTTCTTGGTATTTTCAAATTAGGTGGTAAGTAATTTATATATCAATTAAATATCTATGTATGATTTGTTTTTGTAGATATTGCTTGTAAATATTCATAAAATCTCCGATACTAATTCATGATAGTATTTATAATAAATTGTGTTATTCTCAATGAAACAAACTTATTATTCATACTTAATATTAGCTATCTTAAATAAAATCAATTAGGTTATATTCTATTCCATATGAGTTTAGAAAAACTCACAACAGAAACGCGTTGCAGTTCGCTCATGTGCAGTCTCGTTGGCTGTTATTGGTGCGCTGCTGACTGCTTGCCAATCACAGTGGCGCTACTGTTCCAATGCGAAACAGTTTTTCCTAACTTATTTGGATTAGAGAATAATTATAAAATTATCTTTTATACATCTATATAAAGAAATATCTAGATTGGTACCCATCTACTCAATATATTGCAAACTAATTATATTTAAACATATAAATTATTATTACATCTAATAAAGCCATTTGCTTATTTTATTGTGTTTTTTGACAAGATTATATTTTTTAAGAAATGTTTTGTAATTCTATATGATACTTTCATCGATTCCCAAGTTCTTATTCCCACATCTCAAGCCAAAAGCTTAATATGAATTTATATTTACATAGGTACCTAATTATTTTACTATAATATTATGTTCATGATAACCAACTACTTACGATTTACAAAATTAATAAGAATGAATCTACCTTTAAAATTACATAATTTAACTGTTCAGGGCTCTTAATTATTAGGTACTCTTAACAGATGGAATATATTTATGTAAATTTACCTGAACTTGTATTTTACAGGTAAAGATATATTAAAATTAATTCCGTTTTATGCTACAATTGGTGGTGTATGTTACCTTTCATATAGAGTTGTCAAACCAAGACATGTAAGTACTAAATTAAATTATTCTATTATAAATATTTATATTGTTGTTGTTTTTTTTTTATTTATGTAGCCTGTTAACCCTTGCATTAAAAAAGAATCTCCAAAAGTGGTTGACGGTTATGACATTGAAGAGTTGGGTGAAAGTACAGCATTCTGTCGTTGTTGGAGAAGCTCTAAATTTCCCTTATGTGATGGTGCTCATAATAAATACAATATTGAACAAAAGGACAATGTTGGACCATTGATAATTAAGAAAAAATAAATCATTATCACTAGTATGAAATCACTGGATACATTTATATAAATGTTTGTTAATTGTTCTAGTTTAGTCTTTTGTTTTCATTCAGTTAAATAGAATACATATTTGCATTTATTGATATATATTTCTTTATTTGCGGTAAATAATTTATACACGATGAATGTGTATCAAATCTTTCATTACAGAATCATCACAATCTTCTATCAGCAGCTCTCGTTTTGATATCTTCAAGCTGAAAAATAATGGTTGAAGCTTATTATTAATTCTTATTATCTTATTTATTAGAAAAAAAAAATATATTGTCAATGTAAAAATGAAGTAGGTATGTCTCTATTTATTTCTTTTTTCAATCACAAAAATGACAAGTTATTTGATGTTAAAATGATGAAGTTAAACTATGGTTTCAAAATATTATTATAACAAAGGTATTATATGTTTAATATTTATTTATCTAATAATTTGATATTTTCTGAATTCTTATTCATTCATATATTTGCTGCCAATTATTATTCAGCTGTAAATCTATGTTTTTGGTTTTTTTTTATTAAAGCCCTATATTCAAAATTGAATAGTTACAGAAAAGTATAATTCAACCTTTAAATTATTTTATTTATTAATTAATCTATGTAGTAGAAATGTATGGTTAAAATGTATGGGCGTGTAATTAAAGAGTTAAGCTAATTACATCCATTTACATCTAAATAGGTACAATAATCCTATGTATACTTTTAATCTAATTACTGTTCATATACTCGTATGTTTATTTAGAAAAATAAACGTTCTCCCTAAAATATATTTTTATGCATTTAACAAAATAAAATACTCACTTTTGCACTTTTTTCAAACATAATGCAGAACATGCTAGCACCATGACTGCTATAACTGTAAGTACAAGTAAACTTAATGTAATCGATGTCCAGTTATCAATGTGATTGTTGTAATATTTATTTTCAATATAATTTTCAGTATAATTTTCTGATATCTTAGCGATGACATTGATAGGTTGTGAAGACGGTTTTGATTCTCCGTCCTTAAGTTGCTTTTCGATTGCTTCTTGAAGATTGTTAATTGGTCCATCCGTTATTGTTTCATCGTTTCCAAAATAAAACATTGGTGGCCTAGTTAAATTATAAGGTTCAGCTGCTTGTAAGATTCTTACATGTAATCCGTCTGATGGAAATTCTAGAGGAGGTGTAGGGTTAGTGTCTGGTATAATTGTTGTACAAATGATTACCCCTAAAACAAAAAAAATGTTGTTTTTAAATTTTAACTTGACATAAAATTATTGAGAATAGAATAATAATAAAAACAATAATATTTATGAAATCGGGAATTTATACACATAAATAATAATGATAACACATTGTTTAATTACTTCATAGTATAAAATAAATTTAATTAGCTTATAAATTTAAGCATTATAGTGCAATATATTTATGGACTAGGGAGGACCCCGCACACTTAGTAAAGTGACGATTTGTCCCTGCTATTTGATAGGACTAAGGCCCCCGAGTGTAGTTGCTATACATTATTCAGTAATACTGCCATAGTTTGCTTTTATTATTTGAAAATTTAATTTGACTGATAACAATTAAATTGTAGTCAACAGTGCAGTATCCAGGGGGGGCACGTGCAACTAGTGCACATATAATCTTTTTTTGGCTTAGTTTAAATTACATTTTGATAAAAATAAAAATTTAAGGCTGTTAAAAGTGAACCGTTTTTAAGGGATCGGATTTAGGCAATATTCTATATCAATTATAAATGCTACGTGTACTGTGTATAGTGACTGACCATCATTACTTATTACTCGTGAGTTTACCGACGTTTTATGTTATTAAAAACTGACTAAAATTTATGGAAATTTGTAACATTCAATCACGCAGTCGTTAATCACTAGGTATATTTTGATATCAAAAATATTCAACTCCCATGTGCCACGAAAGTCCCAAAAAGCGGGAAAATAATTCACCCAGTACGAAAAGCCCGATTTTAATTTTGAAAACATATTTCAATTGGTTTCTTTATCTCTTTTCTAGGTTATGTAGAATATTAATTCGATTTTTTGTATTGTTTAATTAAGCATAGTGGCCAGTAGGTATCAATTCTTCTTTTTTCACAGTTCACTTAATTTAACGTTATTAACAGAAAAAAATTAATTTCCTACAAAACGCACATGAAGCAAACAAATTAAAATTAGGCTACAGGAAGTATATTTTTTTCTTCTGCTTATGGTCTAAATGATCAAAAAATGACGTACTTTCAACATCTCAATAGCATTAATATGTGCCTTGTACTCTTGTTAGTAAATTGTAATAATATTCGAACAAAAAATGAAATATTGTATTCACAAGTCACAACACATATTATACCATATTGATATATCATATAGGTAGTGATATACCAACTGATATTTATATAGGTAGAGGTACCTACTTATATTAATCAATACATTATAATCTATGGTTAACAATAATGTTAATACATTGTTAAGTTAAATATATAAGTAACAGGTATTGTTGGTACCATAGTTGTTAAATTTTTAAGTAAAAAAAAAAAATTGTGATTTAAAAATTTAAAATACCAGGAGACCAAACGTCGTACCTCAGCCCCGTTTCACATGGACGCGTATCATACGCGACGTATGACGTATCATCGTACTCGTGCGTTTTCATTTACATTGGTTAAATTCATACATTTCCGACGATGCGCGATGGTGCGTTTCCCTTTTCGCAGGTATGGCGCGTATGAACTTAACCAATGTAATCTAAAAACGCTCGCGTACGATATGTGACTTCGCGTTTGATACGCGTCCGTGTGAAACGGGCCCTTGTTTCGTCTCGGATTCCACACACTCACGCCACGCGTAATTTTTATACGAACATTGTTTTGCGCGAGACAGACTTGCGGAGACAGTATTCACAGAAGCCTTACCTAAGTCTTATAAACTATACACACAGAATAAATGTATGTAGGTATGTCATAACGTTTTTATTTTTTTGATAACTTACAGGACGCCTTACCACAGAATATTCTGTGGCCGTGCCCGCATATTATATTATATTTATATCTGCCTTGCTAACGCATAAATGCATAATCTACCAAAATATTTACGTCTCCACTGTCCATGCAGTTCCAGTTTTGTAGTGTTAGCACGATTTCAAACAATAATACAATATGTTATTCACTATTCAGCCATTAACGCATTTCTACAATTACTTTTGTTAATTATATGCAATAATAATAGTCAGATTAAAACAATATTCAAACAGTGTACATATGGACAGTACACGCACCTAGTTTTGTATAATATATAAATATAATATAATTATTGATAAAAAACATGGTATGCACACGTCGAATTACATACAAAGGTGGGATTTATTTAAGGGTTTTATTACACATGATTTATACGAATTCGGAATTATAAATCGGTTAAACAATATAATAACAATATTTTATACCTATCTTTATCTTTATACATATAATTTTATTGTACGTGTGAATGTCACTGAACTCCCCCTATAAACGGCTGGACCGATTTGAATGAATTTTTTGGTATACGTTTGGATGACGGCCTGGATGATTTATATTCACAATTGGACCCGATAGGTCCGATCTAGGGAGTTGCTCAAACAGGGATTTTGAGATTTACGAAAGAAATATTTGTTTATATACGGTTGCTATTGGTTATAGGAGAAATATAAATATATTTAGCAGAAATTGGTATTTTTTTTTTTTGTTTATTGGTTGCCTGATGCAGTGGTTTATCGGGGAGATCAGGTATAAGCATGCATACAATTTTCGCATATTGCCTACCGAGGGGGCTGAGTTGCACTTATAGTCGCTCATCGGCGTGTCCGCTATAAAAATAAAACATATTATTTATATAAAGTACTCGTCAAGCGGGGTCCGCAATCTACTGCAGTAGGTAGGCATAAGATACTGCTCGCATTATAGAGTTGGTATTTTTAATGGGCAACAAAGAGCACGGGATCAGCGAGTAGAAACGGTTTAACTCGAATTTTAGCAGAGATATTCAACTGAATACGTTTCTAATGGAGCTCGGCGATAGGCAAAAAATAATTACGAGTAGGTAGGCAGGTCCGAATTCATCTCGGCGAAAAATCCGAGTCGACAAATGTACGGTGGTATATGAGATTAGCATGGCCGTCCTAAAGAAGTGTAATACCTAATACCTTAAACTTTAATATTTTTTTTTTCTGGAAGGGCAATATCAGACATCCACAGATACGTATGCGAAATATAAAACTTTTACTAGAAAAAATTCGTTAAAAGTGCACGTTAAAACGCACAACGCACAAGTGTATATTTGAATGTAAAAATTGTGGAAAAACCTTTAGCAGAGATAGGCTGATGCACACGCACGTGGAAAACAAACATTTAAACTTGTACCTAATAGTAGTATATACAAATAATTTTTATTAATTCAAAAATCAAAATCTTACCAAAGAACAAAACTAAAAAATAACTAGCTTTTTGGCTATTTTTTAAAAATGTTTATGTAATCAAATATTCAAAGTACCTACTAATTATAATTTATAAAGGTCTATATTTTTTAATTTTAATCAATATATTTTAATAATTTTTTAAGTGGAATTTTCGGAGACTTAATTTTTAATTCTTTTGCTCCTTCTTCTTCTTCTGGCTAGATCTACTCTACGAGAGTTTTTGCCGCCATCCCAACTTCACCCCCACTTCTCCTGATTATGGATTATGTTTCTCCAATCATTAAGTCCCTAAGTCTATCCCTTTTAAATCTTCCTCGACCACGTCCATTCATCTTGCCCTCGTGGTTTTTTCCCTGTTGGTTTCCAAGACATAACTTCTTTGTTTATGTTATCGTCATTTTCACGCATAATGTAACCAAACCACTGGACTCTGCTACCTCTTATGTAATATTTAATTGGAATCATTACTGTTTCCTCTATCAGTTCTTGGTTAAACTTTCTCCTACACTTACCAGTATTTATATCTAATTTGGGTCCACATATCATCCACCATATCTTATTTTCAAAAGTAGTAAGTCTTCGTTCTGTTATCTGTTATACTATATCTTCTTTTATATTATATATATATATTTATATATTGACTTGAAGCCGTCCGCCCGTCCATGCTTCGCATTCATATGTTAATATAGCTCTCACTATCACTATGTAAAGTCTAACTTTAGTTTTCTTTGGCATAACTTTTGATTTGAAAAATTTGATAGACCATTAGTTTTTAATTAATAAAACTTATTCAAAATTATTATGTATGTATTGTGTTATCATTATATAACAAGTAATAGATATTTTATATGGTTTTTAATTATTTTTTACCCTTTACCAGTTTTTTAGCTGGTCCATCAATGTTTCCAACAAAGTATGTCTATTTATAGCAGGGTTGGTATAAAACTGTTTTTTTTTTAAAAAAGCTGTTTCAAATGTATTTTTTAAAAAAAATTTTTCAGTTCTGGATCTCCTCCCCCTTAAATTTTACATGTTAAAGCAAATGCTTCTCCGTATATAGTATATACATATCCGTATATATATCAATACGCAGTACACACTCTTCCCAAGAACCTCCAAAACTGACAATATATAGGCAACCCGCAACACACATAAACTCGTCACAGCCGCCGCCAGATTCGGCACTTGGCCGACATAATATATTTCCCAATCAAATTACATTACCACATCTTTAATTTCCCTTATGAAAAAAAAAAATATTTTTATACATATAATATATTTTTTGGTTAATTTGTTTCGCTTAGGAGTTAGGTTATATCATGTAGTTTTCATTTAGAAGCTATGGTTTAGTGGATATTTTGTGTATTTTACTCTACTACGCAAAAATTCACTACCTTTGTCCCAAAAAGTAGATTTATAGAGCGAATCGGTACAAAAACAAAAGAACACAGACTTCGTCTTCCCATTGTATCAAATGAACTAATAAATAAACGTATATAGTATTAAATTGTATTATACAATTGTACTATATATATATATCATCCATCATTGAACATTTTATTACGTGTCCAAAAATTGCAAAGTCAAATCCAGTGAAGAATGAAGATGCACCTTTGGGTATTTTCAATGCGTTTTTAAAGGGCGATATCGACATATCGTTGTGCAACATTTGTGACAACATTACGCTGCACGGCTTTAGTGTGTGACGTGTACCCAGCCTAACATAACGGGTTCATTAATACGATGGCCACACGCAATAAAAAG